GCACTTGCCCCTACAGCCTGTCAAGGCTATACGGGGGGTTTTATATCCTTTGCATTTGTCCCGCTTTGGCGTTTCAGCGGATAAATGTCTCACAAACAAATAACAAAATAAATAACGAGAAAGCACGAATTTTGGTTTAAAAAAAAAAACCCAAAAAGCTTCATGAAAACGTGACCAGATCCATCCGGCCGCGCGCGTGGTTCTGTAGTTTTACAGTGACACAAAAAGGGCAGGTCAGTGACACAACACTGGAGGCACCTGGGACATGAAAGGACAGTTTGCTGTGAGAAAAGGGATCCCTTTTGAATTGAGCTTGCAGCAGAAGTCAGCGCGGCAGCGGCGAACACTGGAGGTGTGCATATCAGGGGGAGGTGTGGGGGTGTGGGGGGGAGGGACCGCAGAGACCGCGGGCCGTAATCGAACCGCGACTTCGTTGTGTACGGCCCACGTGATGCATTCAACCACTGAACTCCGGTGGCCGGGTTCGTAGTGCAGCACCCCGCCGATTACTGCGAACATCGCTCCACTCCCCTGCGTCGTTAAAATCTCGAGTTTTGCAATCCGCCGTGCTCGCCTCGACTGTATCTCGCACGTTAGACTTATGCGTGCGTGTCCGTTGGACTTCTTTCGCACCGTACGTAGGCCAAGCGCGCTTAATCGGACAGGTGATGCCGAACCGCTCCGGGAAACGCCCGCGTGTCGTAGCCGCACACTAATCGGGTACTAGAGGGGGGAGGTATTTTAGACGAGACAAAGACGGTTTTAACGTGTATATATATTAGCGTGCTCTGTAAAGGTGAACTCTCGTTACGTTTCGCGTTAATATTTGACAACGGTAAAGGTGTGTGTGTGTGTGTTCATTTGTGGTCCGCCAAAGATTTCAAGGGCTTGTTTGGCCCTCGATAAGGGATGGGTTCATCAGCCTTGGTATATAGGTTGTCGTAATTCATCATCGGCCATGATCAATCCACTACTGGATGGGGGCTTCCTCAAGCCGCTGATGCCACCTTTCACTGTCTTTGCGATGAATCCTAAAAAACTATTTTTTTTTTACCAGGTAAGGCCCACTGAGCTATATAGCTCTTTTTCAAAAGCCACCTGGCAACAAATCATAGCTCGATGGAGTGGCTTATCATGTGGCAATGTATAGCAACCACATACTCTAAACGCACGTTTCTAAATGTGGGGGGGGGGTAGGGGGAGGAACCGGAGGACCCGGAGAAACATCCACGCGAGCACGTGGAGAGAGGCACATACACTCAATATGTACAGGCGTCAGGGTAGGGATCGAACCCACGACCTCCTGTATACCAGGCGAGGTAGTAAACGCCACCGTGACACCCCCAAATTCCATCCAGCACCTGCACGCGAGCTGATTTCATTGCTCCATCTCCGCGTCGGCGGTGACTCCCCCTCTCGGCCGGGTTCCATTCCTTGGCTGCCACTCCGTTATTAGGCTCTTCCTGCCCTCCATCCATCAACCCCCTGACAGCCGCGACGCTTCTCGCGTCGCTTCGCGAGATCCGACGTCAAATGGGGTCCCCCACTCTTGGGTAATTTGGTCGCGAGGTCACAGGGTGGTGAACGACGTTGCTTAAATGTTGCCAACTCCACCGATAGTGTAGGTTCGATGATTGATGAGGCAATGCATTATTGACGGTCGCTCGATCAGAAGAGGTCATTATCTATACATGTATATTTAACACCTTGGTGAAAAACTCATTATTCTCATTATATTGCTAACACACATTATGACATTATATAATAAGAATAAGAATGATGATGATGATATCAACGACTCAGAGTCGCGAGGAGCAGGAACCACAGACGAGCGAGGATCCACGCGGCGAGGAGCCGGCGCCACTGACAAATGCCCAAGCTCTGCGATCCTCAATATATTAAGGTGGTATCGGACAATTAATCAGCGTTTACACGTCGGAGGAAAAAGAAACGCCAGGTTTAAAATGTTTTAATTATTATTCTGGACGGAAGCTAGTAATAAGCTAGTAATGACTCACACAAGTTCGGTCTGAATTACATTTCCTTACCATTATTTCACATTCTAACACGGTGGCTGCCTATCGAGCAAAGACGGGCACTGCATCGCGCACTGTCAGGTGCACTTCTGCGACCGTCTGGAACGCTCTTCCTCACGGTATTAGGAAGCCACTTGGTGCTGTGCAATTTTAAATCCTCTAGCTTTACGAACTCATTTTTTAGAAAACAATGTTTGTGTTTAGTTTGTTGGCCTTACCCCCGGCGCGCCTCCGACTAAGGCGGTTGGCTGTGTACGGTGCGAACGAAGTTCTACATGCATACAGACGTGTGCCAAGGTATTTGAAGCGATGCAACCATGACAAATCCTCGATTGATCAATGTTCATCGATTCACTGAGGATAATGATCTAACGTTGTCGGCAGAGGGCAGTGCAAGTTTCAAACAAGTCGCACGAACGCGTAAAGTTGAGGCACGCAGCCATTTGTGCTTCGTGCAAAAAGGACAAATCCTGGCGAACTGCATTGTGGCTCCCCTTGTCTGAGATCACCGTCAAATTGGCAATTGGAGCGAATGTGACACCGAATGACAGCTGCCACTTCCGCTGCAATGATGCAGTGGGAGACAGAACGTGGACCGGTTGAGTATGATGCTGATGATGATGACAAAATACAGGGTGTTCTAAAAAAATTGTTTTACACTTCTGAGAATTTGCAACAATAGCGATCGGCCCATACAAGTTTTTTGAAAAAAAAAAAAATCTGTAAATATTTAACTGTTAATAGCCACCAGAATCACAACGCGTCTGACTTACAACTTATACCGGGCATTACAATGATGCTCAGCAGTAGATTCTCTATTTATTTTAGCCTTGTAGACTCCCTCCGTCTCCCGATGACAGCTGGCACTGTCATCGGGAGACGAACGCTTGCGTTGCGATCGAAACGTGGTAGTTTTTTTGTTATTTTTGTTATTTTCTTTGAACCTATCTACGTGACCTTACCGAAAGACCCAACAATATGAATTTTTGCAGTCACGAAATCTGTAAGTCTTGATGTTGCTATTAGTTAAATAATTTGGGAGCAATGTTTCACATTCAGAATCGGAATATTGATTTGCACTAGAGGAATCCGATAAGCTATGAAGCTCTTCCCCCCCCCAAAAAAAAAAAAGACGTCCAGTCGTTTCACAGATGTGCACGCGCGGACCGTGGCTCCGACACGACATTGGTCTTCTCCTGTCGGAACGCCGCCACGGGGATCTTCAACGTCCACAGCGCAACAGGTGGCGCGTCACGTTGCGTGGTTGATGACGCCCCGCAGACGCGCTGCCGCCCAGCCACGTTCACCTTCACGCCGAACCAGGCCACCACGGCGAGCGGTTCAATTAATCGATTCTATCCGTGTGGTTCGAGCGAGTCCGTCCGTCTGTCTGCTCCATCTTGTCCTGCATTCGCAAAAGCTACAGCTTGCGTAGACGAGATGTCCCAATGATTCGGTGGGACGCCGTGTCTCATTCGTATCTAATCCGTCTCTCGAGAGGAAAATTAAGTCAATTGTTACACGGCCTCACGCCCTCCTGGGAGTGCGTGATATGAGCAGCGTTGATTCAGTGCAAGCAAAGCCCTGGAACGGCTCTCGACATCCAGTGTCTCATCGCCAGAGTCAGGCTTGCCTACGTCTTGCGTGCGGTGTGCATGCGTTGTACATGCGAGACAAAGATCCCCCCGTACAGCCTTAACAGACTGTTGAGGCAAGTGCCGTTAGCGAGTAGCAGCACCTATGAAGGCCGGCACGGCACGCGAGGGGGTGGGTGACCAACACCACGCCCGGCCGCCTTTGTCTCCCCAGTGGCGATGTTTACACGCAGCAGCAGGTACTCATTTGAGGTTGAGTCGACCTAGAGGAGGCCCAGGACCGGTTCAGATAATCGTCGCTGGTGTTGGTGGCCGTGAGCGGGAAATCGAACTCTGGGTCGCTGTGTTCGTAGCGCAGCGCGCTAACCACTGCGCCACCGCTCCCCCCCACGCGTACATAGGTCATTAATGCACGCTCAATTCGATGCATTATCGCGAGCGTTAATAATCGATTTTATTCGAATCGATTAATCGTTTACAATCTCACGAGATCGTAAGAGCCATCGTGCCGGAATCGCCAACGGGCATGAAGTTTTCGCCAGAGAGTCGAACGGAAAAATGAACAATTTTATTATTCTCCAATATGATTAATATTATTCGTTTAATACAATATATCGGCCCGTGCAAGACGGCCGAATGACAGAACACGCCCGAGCAAACCGCCATGGAACGGAGATGGAGCGAGATTAATTGTGGCGGCGGCATTTGCAGAATCAAAAAGCAGAATATTAATACTGGAGGAATCCGATGAGCTATGAAGCTCTTTTTCACAGGCGTCCAGTAGGGGGCGGGTCAGAACGTTGCAACAACTTGCAAGATCGCGAGAGACCTGGCGACGGAGTGCTTTCATCCAGCAGTCGATAGACCATGATTGATGATGGTGATGAATCGTAAAATATGAAGGTTGGTAAATTAGCCATATTCTTGTTGGTTAATATCAAGGATGGTGTTGAGTATTTGGGGGAGGGGGGGGTGGTGCAGCGGTTGGCGAACTTTGCTCTGAACCTTGCAACGGGAGTTCGATTCCCGACCACGGCCAACGTAAGGTCACGGGCGCGTGGCAACGACATCAAAGACAAAGATCCCCCGTATAGCCTTAACAGACTGTAGGGGAAAGTGCTGTTAGCGAGCACCTATGAAGGCCGAAACGGTACACGAGGGGGTGAGTGGCCAGCACCACGCCCGACCGCCTTTGTCTCCCCCCGTGGCGATGTTTACACATCGCACGAGGTACTCATTTGAGGCTGAGTCGACCTAGGGGAGGCCCAGGACCGGTTCAGACAATCGTCACCGAGTGTTGGCTGAGAGCGGGAATCGAACCCGGGTCGCCGGGTTCGTAGCGCAGCGCGCTAACCGCTCCACTACCGACATCACTGACACACAGACACACGCACATACAGCCACACACACAGACCGGTGGGGGTGGAGGGGGGGCGTGGGGGGCAGGCATCTCGAGCGCTGGAGAGATCAGTTTAGGGGGTACATTTGGAGGTGGTCTCGAGTTCACCAAACACTTTGGACCAAAACATTCAGCCTCAAAGATCGACGACACCACGTGACTCGACAACCCCCATTATCTTGAAAACTGGCGTGCTGCGAATGAGGACCATCGCCCGAAACGTCGCCTACTGTTTTTCTTTACCTCTTTAAGGTCGCAATGTTGTTGTCACTGACAGAATGCGAGTGGGTGTTGCTTATGCTATTGTCGTTAATTGTGCTTTTGCACCGCCGCCAACGCAGTGGCAATGGACGGCAACAATGAATTGCCTCACTTGTTGGGTTGCATTTCGCTGCAAGCGCACAGTGTTACACGTAGGGCCCTCCTTGTCAATCCACTGCTGGATGAGAGAGAGGTGCGTTACTCGACCCATACTTCGCCACGCCGGTCAGCGCGGGTTTCGGTGGAAGGCGGGGAGCGCAGTGCAGGACAACGCCGTGCAGGCAGAGCTCGCTTAGCGCTCAGGATGCGTTCCCGGAGCGGTGAACGCGAATCGAATCGGCGCTAGAAGGGACTCATCATTACCCATCGCATCTCGCGCCACTGCGCTCTCCCGCACACCGCGCAGCCCCACGACAGTATACATAATACTCTACAGACAGTATAACCAGGCCTTAGTTTTCACACCGAATATTTTACGCAATCGCTGGAGCACCCGGGAAGGCACGTGCTCATCGGACGTGCTTCATCGCGCACCTCCGATCGGCGCGCTCGGCTGCGTCCGTGCGCGGAGGGAAGTTCACCGCGCGGCACGTGCGTAAGCCGGAAATATGTTCGCAGTCGAATTTGCGATCAGCCGCAATTCGACCGCTGACAATCGCAGCGATGCACGCAGCGCTCCGCCGTTGCTGACGCGCGATGCCCGGGCTTGGCCGCCTGAACGTGAAATTGGAGCCGTCGCTCTCCGCGTCTGCGCCGGCAGCCGTGCGAAAGAAGAAGGAGGAGGAGAAGGAGAGGACTGACGATCGACCGAAGATCGAACGATCGCTCTCTCGGATCTCGTCGACGACACCAGCAGCCGCCATTTCAGGAACCCAGTTCGAGCAAATTCGCCGACAGCGAGTAGAGCAGCGACTCCGTCGAGGGCGGAAAGAGATCCGCGTAGCTGTGCTGTCCGTTCAGCGCTCCGTCTCCAAACGCGAGGTCCGGACCCCCGTGCTGCTGAGCATGGGGCAGCGGCGGCAGCGGCGGCGGAGGTGACAGCATGGCCATGCAGCTCAGCGGCGGGGGGTGTGGACCCTGCGGGTCCCCTTCGTCCAAGGGGCCTCCCCCGTGGCCGTCGCCCTCGTGGCCCGACGCGGCCATGAGCGCGTAGCCTTCCCTCTCCAGGGCCGCCGCGGCCGCCGCCAGACCGTCGTGGTGTCCGCGCGAGTGGAAGGGCCCCGCCGCCTCCCGGTGCGAGAGCGGCGACTGGCACGGGGTGGAACCCTCCTCGTCCTCCGTGCCCGACAGGGAGCCGCCACCGGCCGAGCGCGCGACGACTCCTCCCGCAGCCACGGTCGACGCGGCTGCGCTGGCGGTGGTGGTCGTAGTGGTGGTGGTGGCGGCGGCGGCGGCGGTGGTGGTGGTGGTGTTCCCGGGGGGTCGTGCCGTGCCGTCCCCGTCCGCGTTGTCGCTGCCGTCTCTGTAACGAAGCCGCACGGCGCGCGGGAGTTGTTAGCGAGAGTTTGGAGAGGGAGAGTTGGAGAAGAGAGTTGGAGGGAGAGTTGGAGAGAGAGAGAGAGCCGCGTTGGTTGAGTCGGTAAACTTGCTGCTCCGGAGCCGCCTGCGACTCTTTAAGGGCCGCTTAGTGACCGCTGTTTTATTAAGGACCACCGCCGTCCCGTATTCACCACCACAGTGCATTGAAATACAGAGTTGTTTTTTGTTTACTGAATTCGAAACAAATGCCTCTTCTTGTTACTCGAGAACGCATTGAGAACGCAAGAAATTGGGTCGTCTTTCGAAGCGATCGTCGAGTCGAATCGTGAGTCGACAGCACGAGGATGATGAGCGGCGCAGTGCTGCGATAAAAAAAAACTCGCGACAACTCCGCGTGGGACCCTCGGCAGACGGACAGGGAGAGGCAGACGGACAGACAGCGAGACACGGAGAGAGAGAGAGAGAGAAGTTGACAGACACCGACACACTTTTGGGGGAGCACTTAACAAGGGGGAGGGGGGGGGCTGTCGATGTCCGTACAACAGCACTTGGGGGAACAACTCGGTGCCTCTAGGGGGCAGTAGAGGGCATCGGCGTCTTTTGAGTTCCATCTGTGTGGAGTTAATCACACGATAGATTAGTGGCGGGGCTTTAGTGGGTGGGTGGGTGGGTATACGCGTGGCTTAGTGTGTGGGTGAGTAAATGGGTGGGTGAGTGTATGGGTGGGCTAATGGGTGTGTTGCTGTGCAGGGTGGGTTAGTCAGAGGGATGGGTAAACGCGTGGGTTATTCATTTGGTGGGTAATGGGTGGCTGAGTGTTTGGGTAAATAAGCACGTTATTCTGTGGGCCGTCTGATAGGCTGTTGCGTGGGTCTGTGGGTAGATTAACATGTAGGTTAACAATTGTATTACTTGGTGACATGGGGTGTGGATGGGTCAGTGTGTGTGTGTGTATCAAAGTGCGGGTTTGTGAAGGGGTGTGCGGGTTTATTGTGTAGTCGATGAGTGGGTGACGTAGTGTGTGTGTGTGTATTATAGTGTGTAGGGAGCAGTAGTGTAGCGGTTAGCGCGCTCCGCTACGAACCCAACGACCTGATTTCGATTCCCGCTTACGGCAAAACCAGTAACGATTACCTGAACCGGTTCTGGGCCTCTCCTAGGTCGGCTCAGACTCAAATTAGTATCTGGGACGGTGTGTAAAACATCGCCACTCGAGATACAAAGGCGGCCGGGCGTGGTGCTGGCCACCCACCCGTTCGTGTGCCGTGCCGGCCTTCATAGGTGCTGCTACCCGCTAACGGCACTTGCCCCAACAGTCTGTTAAGGCTATACGGGGGGGATCTTTGTCTCGCATGTACAACGCATGCAAACCGCACGCAAGACGTTCGCAAGCCTGACTCTGGCGATGAGACACTGGATGTCGAGAGCCGTTCCAGAGTTTTGCTTGCACTGAATCAACGCTGCTGATATCACGCACTCCCAGGAGGCCGTGCCGCCGATGGGTCGTGTCACAGTTGATTTAATTTTCCTCTGGAGAGACGGATTAGACACGAATGAGACACAGCGTCCCCCCGGAATCTATGGGACGTCTCGTCTACGCAAGCTGTAGCTATGTGTGTGAGCTAGTGTGTGTGTGGAGTTCGTCGGTCAGTGTGTGTAGGTAGTGTGCGCGTTGATGTGATGAGGCAGAAGGATGACTTTTTTTTCGGGTGAGCTCGTGCGTAGATGCGCGGTGGTCACAATTGCGCATGATGGTTTTAATGCTTTCATCCAGGAGCGCGTTGCTTCAAGTCTCAATGTCAGGGGGGTCCTCTCATACGGATGTTTGGTCCGATTCCATTCACGAGGTTTGTTTCGCGTGTGACGAAGGCTGAGTACCCCGCGGAGAAACCCCACAACGCAGTCGAGGGGGTAAGCACGAGTTGAAACTATTCACACCTAGCAGCAAAGCCGTCCCTCGGGTACAGGGCGAATCGGGGCGACCGCCTCAGGCCCCGCGCTTTGGGGGGGGGGGGCCTGCGCTTTGACGTTACGGTGTCATTTGACCATACTTCACCACCGCACACAGTTTCGGAAAATTGCCGACCCCTCTGTGACTATTTACGGACCGCTTCCGTGACGTTAAATATTATATATACGTTATATATATACGTTATATGTACGTTATATTACGTTATATATACGTTATATATACGTTATATGTATGTTATATGTACGTTATATTACGTTATATATACGTTATATGTACGTTATATTACGTTATATATACGTTATATATTAAGTATCATCCCGTATTGCGGCTCTTAAAATATTTCAACAAAAATAGTTTTAAAAAAAATTCTAATTTCAAATTTTCTTGCTGTGGTTCTTTCGGTAAAGTCACGTAGAAGGGAAACAATAAAATAATAAAAATATAAAACAATAACATTATCACGACGTTTCGACTGCAAAAATTTGAAATTTGAAAATTTTCTTGCTGTGGTTTTTCACACCTGATGATGATTGCTTGTGTTGCAGTCGAAACGTCGTGATAATGTTATTGTTTTATATTTAAATTATTTTATTGTTTCCCTTCTACGTGACTTTACCGAAAGAACCAAAACTAGTTTACCGAATTCGATAAAAAAAAAGATTTACTCTTCGTGTTATTTTACTTGCCCTGGTGTAGAACATTATCCTGCTAAAAGTGTGTTGTTGTTGTTTTGCTTACGAAAACTCAGGTGGGTGGTTGGGTGACGTGGCAATTCCTGCTGTCTCCCGAGGGGACTAATTATAGTCGCCGTGTGAGTTGCGAGCGACGTGCTCCCTGTTGATCCGCGTCTATACGGGGTCATCTATAAGCGTGCACTGAGCTGTGGAGTCTTGTGGATGTGGGGGGGGGGGGGTGGAGGGAGTTGGGGTGGGGGCTGGGAGAGGGAAGACGAGTGATGTGGGGGTAAGGGAACCCCCACCCCGCCCTCTGAGTGAGAGTCCCTCGTTGTCTCCATCAGGATTTTCCCCGTGTGCTCGCGAGCCGTTGCCATAGCGTCCGTCCCCATGTTTACCAGTCTTCCCCGTTGCGCGCCGCACGCGTCCGATGATTGCTAAACACGCTCCTCGCCGTCCCCACGTGACGTTCTATAAGGGCTCATTCAGTGTCTCGTCCACAACCACGTTTACTAAAATCATTGCTGGTGAACTGCCAGATATAGATAAGTCGTATTGATATTACGTTAGATCGTGTGTGGTGTACACACGTGTGTGTCCATGTGGTGTACACACATGTGTGTGTGGTGTATACACGTGTGTGTGTGGTGTACACACGTGTGTGTGTGGTGTACACACGTGTGCGTGGTGTACACACACGTTTTGTGTGTGGTGTATACACGTGTGTGTGTGTGGTGTACACACGTGTGTGTGGTGTATACACGTGTGTGTGCGTGGTGTATACACACGTTTTGTGTGTGGTGTACACACGTGTGTGTCCATGTGGTGTACACACGTGTGTGTGTGTGTGGTGTATACACGTGTGTGTGCGTGGTGTATACACGTGTGTGTGTGTGGTGTACACACGTGTGGGTGGTGTATACACGTGTGTGTGCGTGGTGTATACACACGTTTTGCGTGTGGTGTACACACGTGTGTGTCCATGTGGTGTACACACGTGTGTGTGTGTGTGGTGTATACACGTGTGTGTGCGTGGTGTATACACGTGTGTGTGTGTGTGTGGTGTACACACGTGTGTGCGTGGTGTACACGTGTGTGTGTGTGGTGTACACACACGTATCTGTGTGCGTGTGTGGTGTACCGAGTTGGCACAGTCGGTCAACCCATGGCAACCTGGATCTGTCTCGTGACCTCCAGCGAGCAGCGAGCCTTCCACACTTCACGTGGCCTCAAGGTGCACCTAGCCTGGCACAAGCGCTGTGGTGGACGTCACCGCCACTTGGTGGCGAATGGCAGCAGTCGCTGTTGTTAGTGTACACGTGCGTGTACAAAGATAAATACACAAATCCGCCGAATAGCCTGAACAGAATGTTGGGGCAAGTGCTGTTAGCGAGCACCTATGAACGCCGTCACGGCACACGAGCGGGTGGGTGGCCAACACCACGCCCGGCCGCCTTTGTCTCCCCAGTAACGATGTTTACACACCGCATCAGGCACTCATTCGAGGCTGTGCCGACCGAGAGGAGGCCCAGAACCGGTTCAGATAATCATCACTGGTGTTGGCCGTGAGCGGGAATCGAACTGGAATCCCCGGGTTCCTCGCACAGCGCGCTAACCCCGCCACTACCGCCTCCCCACACGCGCGCACGCGCTTGCTGGTGGCGAACCCCACGACCTAAGATCGACTGGCGACCACTGCTAAAAGCGTCGTCGGCGAGTGATATCCGATCCGTTGCTGAGCGTCCTCGCCCCCCCTGCTGCTTAGCTCGAGCTCCCCAATTTTGTTCTCCACAATGACCAAAGCGCGCTTTACGGGTGTGTGTGTGTGTGTGGGTGGTTTTTTTGTGTGTGGGCGAATTCCGACGTTAAAGACCCTTTTTGTGGGTGGGAAGTCATCATTCGCAGGAGGAGAGCAACGCCTTCCGACGGCGTTTCGATACCCTCTAATGCCGCAATCTTTCCCAGAATCTCAATGTTATTATCAACGATGGTAACTGTCTTTATTTAACCACAGACCAAGTGTCGATTAGAGGAGCGGTATGATTTCTACGCATTTCACTTGATTGATGGTCGATGATGATGATTATGATGGTTGCTGTTGCTGTTGATGATGGTTCTTGTTGCTGTGACCGCTTGCCATTCATGATTCTCATGATGATTCTGATGACGGGAAAAAAGCAATGCATTCATGCACGGCCTCGATGAGAATGCAGCGGCACGAGTTCTGACGAAAAACTAGAGAGAGAGAGCGCTCAAATAACAGCCATTGGCTGTTAGTCGGTCAAATAATTGATTTTAAATAATTCTATTGGTTTTCAAGTCGTCGAATGGTCTGGC